TGGTACCAAAAAAGAGCCTGCCTGCCAAGACAATCCTAAGCAAAAAGAAAAAAGCTGGAGGCATTACACAGCCTGACTCAAACTATACTACAAGGCTACAGTAACCAAAACAGTATTGTACCAAAGTGGACATGCAGACCAAGGGAACAGAACAGAGGCCTCAGAAATAACACTACATATCTACATCCATCTGATCTTTGACAAACCTGACCAAAAAAAAAGCAATGGGGAAAAGATTTCCTGTTTAACAAATGGTGTTAGGAAAACTAGCTAGCCATATGCAGAAAGCTGAAACTGTATCCCTTCTTTACAACTTATACAAAAATTAACTCAGGATGAATTAAAGACTTAAATGTGAAACCTAAAACCATGAAAAACCTAGAAGAAAACCTAGGCAATACCATTCAAGACATAGGCATGGACAAAGACTTCATGACTAAGATACCAAAAGTAATGGCAACAAAAGCCAAAATTGACAAATGGGACCTAATTAAACTAAGGAGCTTCTGCACATCATAAGAAACTATCATCAGAGTGAATAGGCAACCTACAAAATGGGAGAACATTTTTGCAGTCTATTCATCTAACAAAAGGCTAATATTCAGAATCTACAAGGAACTTAAATGAATTTACAGGAAAAAGCCCAACAACCCCATCAAAAAATGGGTGAAGGACATGAATAGACACTTTCCAAAAGAAGACATTTATGAGGCCAACGAACATATAAAAAAAGCTCATCATCACTGGTCATTAGAGAAATGCAAATCAAAACCACAATGAGATACCATCTCATGTCAGTTAGAACGGTGATCATTAAAAGGTCAGGAAACAACAGATGCTGGAGATGATGTGGAGAAATAGGAACACTTTTACACTGTTGGTGGGAGTGTACAACCAACAGTGTAACCATTAGTTCAACCATTGTGGAAGACAGTGTGGGAATTCCTCAAGGATCTAGAACTAGAAATACCATTTGACCCAGCAATCCCATTACTGGGTATATACCCAAAGGATTATAAATCATTCTATTATAAAGACACATGCAAAGGTATGTTTATTGCAGCACTATTCTCAATGGCAAAAATTGGAATCAACCCAAATGCCCATCAATGTTAGAGTAGATAAAGAAAATGTGGGACATATACACCATGGAATACTATGCAGCCATAAAAAAGAATGAGTTCATGTCCTTTGCAGGACATAGCTGAAGCTGGAAACCATCCTTCTCAGCAAACTAACACAAGAACTGAAAACCAAACACTGCATGTTGTCATTCATAAGTGGGAGCTGAACAATGAGAACATAATGGCAAAAGGAGGGGAACATCACACATTGGGGCCTGTCAGGGGGTTAGGGGAGGGAGAGCATTAGGGGAAATAACAACTGTAGATGACAGGTTGATGGGTGCAGCAAACCACCATGGCACATGTTTACCTATGTAATAAAACAGCACATTTTGCACATGTATCCCAGAACTTGAAGTATAATTTTAAAAAAAGAATTGAGAAATGAGACATTGTAGAACTTATGAAATCTTCATTGCTTCAAGATTTGGGAATTGTTTCTTTATCTTTCTGGTGTGGATTAAGCACAGTCTTTCCAAAAGCAAAAAGAATTGACTGCATGACATCTGAGTTGTGGTCTAGCCCTGCATTCTTAGGATTACCTGTGTTAGCTTGAAACTCCATGTCCTTTTAAATGGCTGCATTCACATAATGGATTTCAATTTCTTCCTTTCCTTGACGGAGTGGGAAAGGAAAGGTTGCAAGTTTGGCTTTCATTTACACAAAACAATTTAAGCTGAAAACTCCACAAGACTACTGGCTTTAAGAAAAAGTATTTTCCAAGCACTGTAGATAAAATTAAATATTCTTGATAAATTTGAATTCAGACCATTGAGGAAATAAATGCTTTTTATTCATTAGTCAGTTATAAGCCTAAAATGGAACTCTAAGCATAATTTCTCAGTTCTGAATCTTTTCGGGTAATTTTGTGTATATAATTTTTAAATCCTCTGCAGAGAAATATTTTCAGATACTTCTGAAACACATTTCTTTAATATTAAATACAAGCAAAGGCTTGAATATTTTCTTTAAAAGCTGAATACTCTGTCTTACTTTAAACGTTCACTAGAGAAGTATTCAATTCTAGTAAACAATCACTTCATCAATCAAGTGTTACTATTTAGGATTAAATTTGCAAATGTACCATTTTATGTCATTAAACATTTTAAGCACGCTGTTTTTCTCTATGAACCCCCATTTCCCCTCATAGAGCTTAAGGTTACATGCATAAGAAATGTCTCAAAGTGAATGAAGACGGCCCACAAACTCACCTCTTTACTCTTGTGAAGAAATCTCTCTTGTTATCGGCGTGTTGTATATACTGTATTAGAAAATGATCCTCAACTTTCTTGTCAAACTGAGAGAAGACTAATAAAAGGTAAATTCATTTGAGACAGTCAATCCATATTTATGTAATTATAACTTTTAGAAAATTCTCTAAGTAGGCTAGGCATGGTAGCTCATACCTGTAATTCCAGCACTTTGGGAGACTAAGACAGGTGGATCACTTGAGACCAGGAGTTTGAGACCAGCCTGGCCAACAATGCAAAACCCGGAACCAGGTATGGTGGCAGGCACCTGCAATCCCAGCAAGACTGAGGCACAAGAACTGCTTTAACCCAGGAGCAGAGGTTGAAGTGAGCTGAGATCATACCACTGCACTTCAGCCTGGGTGACAGAGTAAGAATCTGTCTCAAAAAAGAAAGAAAGAAAGAAAAAGAGAAAGAAAAGAAAAAGAAAGAAAGAAAAGGAAAGAAAGAAAGAAAGAAAAGGAAAGAAAGAAAGAAAGAAAGAAAGAAAGAAAGAAAGAAAGAAAGAAAGAAAGAAAGAAAGAAAGAAAGAAAACGAAAATCCTCTAAGTAGCCAAACATGGCATTTGCATATGGCTGCCACCTCATCAGGAATTGCCCAGAAGCCAGCTGGAAAGCTGACATTTTGACCTTGCAGGCACAGTAAACCTTCTCTTCACTGTTAGCAACTGCTTGTACCAGCAGACAAAATACTCCTTATCACTTCCCATTTTCTCAACTTGAAACTTTCTTAACCCACAGTTTATTGGGCATCAAAGAAGAGCTATGAAAAAAGGTATTATTTCTGTGGTTGATAATAAAATTGTAGGTCAATATTAACTTTTATGGAAAGACTGCTGATGCTCAGCAAACTAATTTTGAAACTGGACCTTAACTTTTATCACTAGAAAGAGAAAAACTATTTTTGTTAAGAAAAAGAAAGATAATTGGACACTGTGAGTCTCCTGAAGAATGCAAGTATTTATTCATCATAATTCAAATATGAAGACAAGATAAAATAAAGTCTTCATGTAAACAAGAGGTGGCCAGCAAATGCAATCCCATGTGTGTTTGCACCACACACAGGTCACTTAATATTGAGAATTATGAAAATCCCAGCCATCTACTTTACTTTCTCTGTGTTTCTATCACTCAGATGATTCAGTAAAGTGAGGAAGAGAAGGGAGTGTGCACCATAGATGATAATCCACTGCAGTAATGTTATCTGCAATAATTATTTAGTTACATTTGTTTTATGCTGTCACTGTTTTTTGGCATGCACATACAGAACTATTTGGTTAACACTTCGACTAGTATCACCAATTAATATAGTGGTGTCTTTCATCCCACCAGAAAAGATACTTTGAAGTTCTAACTCCCAGTACTTCTGTATGTGATCTTACTTAAAAATAGAGTCTTTACATAAATAAATAAATAAATAAATGAAAATGAGCTCATTAGGATGAACCCTGATCCAATATAACTGATATCCTTAAAAAGGGGGTAATTTGGACTAGAGATGGACATGCATGGAGGCACGATAATGTGCAGACACACAGGGAGAACATCATATGAAAGAAAAGGCAGATTGGAATGACAAATCTACAAAGAAGGGAGCACCAAAGATTGGCACCAAACCACCAGAAGCTAGGAGAGAAACACAGGCCAGATCATCTCTGAAAGCTGTCAGAAGGAACCATCTCTGCTGACACCTTCCTTTCAAATGTATAATCTCCAGGAGTGGGAGATAATAAATGTCTGCCATTTAAGCCATGCAGTTGGTGATGCTTTGTTATGGCATCCCTGGGAAACACAGATGGGTTGTGATGTAGGATCATGTTATAGCATTAAACTAGATATTTGGCAGACTGGACGTTATTCAAATACAGACTTGTGAATGAATAAATGATACCTTTTGAAAAACCAAAAATATATACAAAACTTTTAAAAACTGGCTAGTTGTCAGTTTAAATTTGACTCAGAAAGCTTTCCTAGAGAACTCCATAAAATCTAAGGTTGCATAAAAATGAGCTCTTGACTCTACTGAGACCTGTTAAAATTTATCATGACCTTTTTTAACATTGCATGATGTTGACAATATTAAAGATTCAATAAGCTCACCAGACCTAAACCAAGGCAGAGAGGATGCTGCAACCATTTTCTCTTTGTTGTATTAAAAAAATAAAATAAAAATCCATGGCCAGGTAGGGTGGCTCATGCCTGTAATCCCAGCACTTTGGAAGGCTGAAGAGGGCAGATGACAAGTCCAGGACATCAAGACCATCCTGGCTATGCTGGTGAAACCCCTTCTCTACTACAAATACAAAAAATGTATCTGGGTATGGTGGCACATGCCTGTAATCCCAGCTATTCGGGAGGCTGAGGATGGAGAATGGCTTAAACCTGGAAGGTGGAGATTACAGTGAGCTGAGATCATGCCACTGCACTCCAGCCTGGAGACAGAGTGAGACTCTGACTCAAAAAAAAAATCCATAAAAAGTATGGTTTTTAGACATACTGCTTCAATATTATATTTACTAGGCTCCTGCTAGGGAGGAGACACAGTGCTAATGACTATTTCATAACTAGTAGGCTAGATTATGCTAGAAGGAAGAAGCAGTCCTCAAAACTAAATGGCATATCATACCAGGAGGTTGATTTCTTCTCCAGCAGCGTATCTATCATAGGCCAAGTGGAGGTTCTGCTGCAGACTTCTTCACTTCTGGAGGATGGGCAACAAAGAAGCTACCATTTACATTTATCTTGACGGGAAAAAAAAATGAGTGTTCTATGAAGTCTTTGCAGACAAATATTCTGGTCTAAAATTGACACAAGTTACTTCTGTTCATAAGCAATTGACCAGAACTAATAATGTGCCCCCATCCAAACATGAGGTGGCAAGGCAACGCAATCCTACTCTGTGCCTCGAAAGCAGATACTGTAACTATTCCGTAAACAGCACTAATAACTGTCAAAATGATTTCACTTGTATGCATTTTGTAGTTACAGAATTGTGACTCAAAGCCAAAATTATGTAGTTGGAAAGTGGTGCTTCTGAGATTTGGACCCTGATCTACCTAACTTAAGAGCTTCTAATATAGATACTATAATGTTTCTATTTTTTTTCACATCTGAATTTTTTATGAAAATTGAAGTCGTAGTAAAAATGGAAAGATAATTAATAAAAGGTAAACAGTGGAAAATGAAATGAGTAAATGTAAACAAAAATGAAATTCCACATTTCATCTGTGGACTTACCCTCTTTTTTGATATTTCATTTGGTTTAATTTTCAAGAGGTACATTTTTAAATACCTTTGCTTTTTTATATGTATAACGTATTTATTTTTTTATTTGTACTCAAGAAAAATGCTTTTTCCCCCTAAAATCACATCCTGAGCCCACAGAATTCTATAATGATATTGCTTATTTCTATGAAACAAATGGCTCCCTGCAGTATTACTTTCAGATGAGATCATATCAGCTCTCATAAGCTGAGACAAGTAGGGGTTGTGTACAAATGAGATCTCTGAGGAAAAAAGATACTGTAAGAAAATACTTTCAGGGACTCAATAAATAACATTTGGAGGTGATTAAATAACAATAAAAATAATTCTTCAGACTTAGCAAGCTATTAAAATTCGACATCACAGTGCTTATTTTAGATGAAATTAAACCAAAATTCTGAATTGTAACAATCTTTGTGTTCATTCTCATTTGTGTAAGTTATAAAAACTTCAGGAACTAGCTAGATTCAAAAATTACAACAGAACACTAATATTTTGGTTTGCACTAATTTACTTACAACATGACAGAGGCTTTTTTTCCTGTCAAAATTACCTTAAATTTGTGTTACTATTAAAGTATTTCCATTCCTCTCTCAATATTCAAGTCGATTAAAACAAGGCTATATACAGATACCTAACCCATACTGTGAATTGCTTGTACTATTAAACTACACAAATGCATTAGTTAAAAAAAATGTTAGGTGAGGACAGTTTTCAAGTCATGTCTTACAAAGGCATTTAGATTTGTTAGAATTGCCTGAATATGGGAATGGGAAAATATAGTTCATAAGATTTCTGCTTAATATGAGAAAGATCTTCATAAAATTACAAATGTCCAACAATGTTAAAGGCTTTGGTAGACAGTACTGAGCTCTAGAATCTTAGAAAAGCTTTAAGCAAAAATTTAAACATTTCCATCGAATCACTGGAGAAGGAAACTAACCAAAAGACAGGAAGTTGTGTTTCCATTCTAAGAGTCTATCATCCAGCTAGATGCAATGCATATACTCGGCAAACACTGTTCAGCACTTAGCATTTCTCATGACTGAGCAGCCTGGTCATCCCAGATAAAACCTAATCAATTTAAGTAAATTCTATGAGCAAAAGATGTAGACATGGTCACCTCAAGATGTAATGTCAATTTACCTTAGCTCTAAAACGTAAAAAAACAATGATGTTGGAAGAAGGGTTTTGAACAATCTGAGTTCCTACAGTAGAAGACAAAAAAAAAAAAAAAAAAAAAGACCAAATAATGTATGCAGAGAAAGAGGAGGTCACATTAAATGAGAAAAAGGCAGAAGGTAGAGAAAAAACAGAGTATTGAAGTAGGGAAAAAGGACATCCTACTGTCAGGTTGTACCCTGTTATCAGGCAAGTGCTTTGTAAAGAATATGAATAAAAGATTAAAAATCCCTTTTCAAAGATTGAGCTCCTACCAGCTCCCTAGGGAGGTGAGAAAGGGACTTAGCTGTTATGATGGTAACTTTGAACGTCTCAGACACTTAGCTAGCCCCCTACTGGGTCTAAAAAAACCAAATCAAGTCCATTAAATACTTAAGTATAAAAAGCTCTCTAAGTTTTATCCACTGAATGTGTGGATTTTAATGGTAGCTTGATAAAGTTTAATAAACAATTCTGGGGGGTACTCAGATATACAAAGTACATAAATGTATCATTATTATTCACAATTTAAAGTACCAAAGTACCTCTCAAATACTCTGGCATTTTAAAAACAACTTGTTTAGAAAAAGAATGTTATATTATTATCCGTCAAGATAGAGATTCATGAGGACTATAAATCTGAGAAAAAAACAATCTGCAAAGACCCAAAGAAAATCCCAATGTAACATTAATACATTACATAGTGCCTTTCAATTCAAATATAAAGGCCTCAGCACAAAGGAAAAAATATATATAAGAAGAAATCGATTTATGCATCATTTGAACAAGGCATTTCTATGTGACAAATTTGTTAGTGCCAGCAACAATGTACCAAGTTAACAGAGGAAGTAGAAGACAACTTACCTCATAAATATACCAGACTCTATATAGGTAAATTGATACATTTAATTTAAACTTGATTAAAATGCCTCTGAAAATCACCTTTCTCTCTCTTTCCCCCTCTCTCCTCTGTCTCTCTTTCCTCTCTCATATCTCTTTCTCTCTCTCTCCCCTTCTCTCTTCTCTCACTCCTCTCTCTCTCTCTCTCCCCGTCCCCATCTCTCTCTCCTGCCACCCCTAAAATAACTGGGCTTTGACGGGCTTTTATAACAACATGCTGGAGGAAATGTAGAACTGGGAGGACTCTGATTTAAAGGAACCATTTTTTCATGGATACTGGGAATCTGAGTATTGTGATGCATTTCCCTGGATGGTTTGCCAGGACTTCAGGGGACTAAGAACTACAGAAAAAGACTATAAAGCCTCACGTTTTAGTCAACATAATTCTGAAACCCCCGGCACCCCTTATACTTACGAGGCACATCTGCTTCTAGGTGGTCCATTGTCAAACTTCCTTCTGGAGACATCTATCAATCAGTACAGCACAGCACTTGACCTAAGTGAGAAATTGAGCCAAAGAAGTCATCACCAAGAAGCTGGCTCCAAATGTGCAGCTTATTATTTATAACATTATCGAAGAGGTTAAGCAAAGCCATAATTGAGTTATTTTCAGCTTCTGTCTCTACAGGTCATTGTAAATATGCTTCCCATTGCAACTACTCCTTAATCTTTTATTCATTATATCCCCTCATATTTGTGAACATTCAACCTCCATTACAGTGTTTGAAAATCACAATGACCTTAATAAGATCAAAAAGATTATCAAATTGAATATTATATATATTGGCATATAGGCATGAACTATTTAGTATTTTTGCAATTTGAAGTGTCATTTACCCAATCCTTACGTTAAGTGGAGGGTGTTCAGTAGTTCAGTCACAGTAAAGCATGAACGGTAAAATAGCATTTAGAACAATAGAAAGGTGATTGAAGTGGTCATTGTTGGATTTCTTTTATGCATAGTGAGAAGTGTCTTCTTTCTTTTGTGTCATCATCCTGAGCTCACACACATAATAACTAGATAGGACCTGGGTGACTTCAAAGGCTCTTGCTATCCAATTGCACATTGATTCTTCTTTTTCTAAGTCAGTAGGGTGGCTAAAGCAAGTATCATGTGAGTTTAAATATGGTGACTACATCATACAGAAACAGAAATGTACATTTTCTTTCATTGCTTCTAAGAAGAGACAGTGAATAAAAACAATTCATCCACAGTCATTTATCTGGCAGGCATTTAACAATTGTTTAGTTCAGAATTTCCATACCCTAGTTCAGTGAAGCTTGAAATCACAGTATTATTTCTCATTTTGCTCATATGTTATCTGTATGCTTGAATGTACTGCTAAATGGATTTGAATGTGAACTATCAGTACTAAGTAGAAAGTTTCTTTTGCATGATTAGAGCATCTTTCATGTAAATAGTCTGGGTTGCACTAGAGATTTTTATAGTGTATGTTAGATTATTGTTTCATGCTTCTTTCTTCGGGGTTTCTTAGAAGAGGACCCTACACTAAGTCTAGGTAACACACAGAAATATGCATTTTTGTTTATAATATGTTATGTTAATTAATAAAATCCTATGTATTTTCAACAATTTTGAAGTATTACTCTACAGGCAGACCTCATTCCAAGGAGGTCACATTATGTCTAAACTTCATCTTAAAATTACCAGTATGGGCTCACTTGCTCCTGCCTGCTCACTGACAATACCACCAGTCATGCAGTTACTCAAAAGCTGCAGCAGCTCAAAGGTACAAGATTCTAATGTTGGCAATTAGCCTGCCTTCCTTCTCCTGAGACAGGTAACATGTTACTGAGTACAAATCTATGAAACAGACTCAAAGACAAGGCAGCCAATCAGGTAAATTAGAAGAGCAGAATGGAAATAAGAGTTAAATAATGAGTGTTTTAAATACTTATAAAATTGCATAGCTAGAAGGCATCTTGAATGTGATTTAATTTAATTATCTAATTCTGTAAATAAGAAATTTAGTTCTCACAGATTGAGTAAGCCAATGATATACGAAAATAAGCTTTAGTTGAACAAGAGAAGTTGTTAAAAAATGCCAACACCCTGCAATTGCCCTCAGAGAGGAGTAGCCAGGAGTTTCATATACATTGTCCAAAGACATGTAGCAAATTAGAGCTTAACATAGTATGAGATTCATTCAGAAAGGATCATTGTGACACCATGCCATGGCTGACATGACAACAAAAGCAAAAAACTTTTGAAGATGAGTAGTTGTGGTTCCTAATGGCCCAGTGGCAATGACCCAAGCCAATGAATAAAAATATGTATGTGAAGACTTGATAATTTTTCTAGAAAAATAGGTGATATGTTAAAACTTACAAACTAGGCTATATTTTAGGGCAGATCTTCTGTTTGAAGACAAATTTAGAATGCTGACTGGTTTTAAGTTGGTAGGCCAGCAATATCAGCACAGAAAAAGCTGCATGAGAATAGACATTAACATATTCAGGAATTATTTCAGTCTTACTGGTCACTTCTATTTTAATGTGGGTTTAATTTGCCTGCTCTGTGTTTGTGCTTTTGTTTTTGTGCCCCATGTACTTTCATTTAAATTCCAACATTTTAAAAATCTGGAAAATTCACATTAAAACCTGGATATTTAGATTTTTTTTTTAATTGTGAAGTCTCTGTCATCACCCAAGTTAAAGTGCAGAGGTGCAATCTCCACTTACTGCAACCGCCACATGCCAGGTTCAAGCGATTCTCCTGCCTCATCCTCCCAAGTAGCTGAGATTACAGGAGCCCTCTATCAAGCCTGGGTAATTCTTGTATTTTTAGTTGATACGGGGTTTCACCATGTTGGTCAGGCTGGTCTCAAACACCTGACTTCAGGTGATTCGCTTGTTTTGGCCTCCCAAAGCACTGGGATTATAGGTGTAAGCTACCATGACATGCCGATATTTCGCTTCTCTTTTCTCCCTATTGTTTTTCATCTTAAAATCAAGGATCAGGTATAACTTAGTCATCTCACTTGAGCAATTGATTTTGTTGTATCTAGCATATCTGTTACTTGTAGGCTTTTGAGTCTCTGTATCTCAATTTGTACTACACAGGGATAATCAGTAACATCATAACACATCTAATTATCATTTTATTGCATCCATGTTTTGAAAGATCATTGTTTCTATAACTGTATATTATTAATTGTTTAGGCCATTTCTAGAGTAGCAGCTGTGACATATTGCAAAAACCTGTTGAAATTACCCTCCCTGTATCCAAGCCTTTTGTGTTGTAACACAGTAGTACTATCTGTCTGTGACTCTAGTCTCAGCCATACAACTTGCTCTGGCAAGTCATATTTGCAACAGAGGTAAGGATACTTGCTACATGCAGAGGTAGGAATAAGCACTTGGACGTTTCTGTTTTGCTGTTCTTGAATCTCTGCCAAGGCTGGACATGCCCATGGTGGTCTGCTGGAGTATAAAATGTGTGAACTACAGCTGAGCTGTACTAGTTTTTCCTACTGAGGCCATCCACATTTAGCCAACAGCCAAATGAAGAGTGTGCATGTGTGTAAGTCCAGCTCACTCCAGAGCAGCGGAAATGCTCAGCTGTGCCCACCTAAAAAGTTAACCTATGAGTTTGTGAGCTAAATACAAGTTTATTGTTTTAGTTCACTGAAGTTGATGTTACTTGTTGAGCAGCTCTATTGGAACAATAAATGACAATTATAGAAAGAAATTTTTACCTAGAAGTGAAATACTATTGTAACCAAACATAGCACACTTTGGACTTGCTTTGAGATTAAGCAGCATGGGACAAAGAAACTGCTAGCGGAAGTAAGAAAGATGGCAAGAAAGCTATTATTGCAATGATGGAAAAAATGGCAATTCATATTTTATAGTGGCAAAAACTTTGGCAGAATTGTTGCCCATGGTGCCTTGAAAGAAAAATTAATTCCTTAATGAAATTTTACACTTGGGAGAACTTATCTTTAGATAAAATGTTGGTAGCATTTCTTAAGTTGTTTTCTTTTCCTATGAATAAATAGGAAAGAGAAAGAAAGAAAGAGAGAGAGAGAGGAAGGGAGGATGGAGGGAGGGAAGGAGGGAAGGAAGGAAAGAAGGAAGGAAGGAAGGAAGGAAGGAAGGAAGGAAGGAAGGAAGGAAGGAAGGAAGGAAGGAAGGAAGGAAGGAAGGGAGGGAGGGAGGAGGAGGGAGGGAGGGAGGGAGGGAGGGAGGGAGGGAAAGAGAGAAACCAACAAAGAAAGGAAAGAAAGAAAGAAAGAAAGGAGGGAGGGAGGGAGGGAGGGAGAAAAAAGGAAAGAAAAGAAAAGAGCCAGTTTGTAAGCCAAACTAGAGGGGAGTAGAGGGACCACATCTTGTTAGCTTGACATCTTGTTAGCTTGTAAAATAAAACTGTCAGCCAGTCTATCAAGCCCATGGATGTATTAAAAGTAATACATGTTCTCAGGATAAAGAGCAAAGCAAGACTATGACTATGAAACTCTCCAAAAGATTATGACCATGCCTAATAGACATGCTGAGTTTCAAAATTAAGCTGGAATCATACCAACTCTTGTGTATACTTCTGGTAGAGCTGGGCTGTAAATACATCACGCTCTGGCCTTTTTCTAGTTGGTAGACTTTTTGTTATTGATTCAGATCTGGAGCTCGTTATTGATCTGTTCAGGGATTCAATTTCTCCTTGGCTCAATCTCGGGAGGCTATATGTTTCCAGGAATGTAGCAATTTCTTCTATTTGTCTTTGTTTGTGTAATCAGAGGTATTCATAGTAGTCTCTGAGGGTTTCTTATATTTCTGTGGGGTCAATAGTAATGTCTCCTTTTATTTGGATCCTCTTTTTTTCCCTTTATCTAGCTAATGGTCTATCATTATTTTTATCAAAATACCAAAATCTTGGATTTGTTCATCTTTTGTACATTTTTTTCTATATATATATTTTTAAATTCTGCTCTGATTGTGGTTATTTCTTTTTTCCTGTTAATTTTGGAATTTGTTTTCTCTCTCTCTCTCTTTTTTTTTTTCTTGTTGTTGTTGTTGTTGCTTTATGTGTGATGTTAGGCTGGTAATCTGAGATATTTCTAACTTTTTGATATGGGCATTTACTGCTATCAACATTCCTCTTAACCCTGCTTTAGCTGTGTCCTGTAGATTCTGGTATGCTGTATCTTTTTTCTCATCAGTTTCAAGGAACTTCTTGATTTCTGCCGTAATTTCATTATTTGCCCCAAAGTCATTCAGGAGCAGGTTATTCATTTCCATGTAATTGCATCATCTTGAGCAATTCTCTTAGTATATATTTCTATTTTAATTGTGCTGTGTATTAAGAGTATGTTGGTATGACTTATGGTCTTTTTAATTTTCTGAGTATTATTTCATATCTCATGTGTGGTCAGTTTTGAGGTGGAGAGTTCTATAGATGTTTATTATGTCTATTTGGTCACCTGCTGAGTTCGGGTCCTGAATATATTTGTTAGTTTTTTGCCTCCATGATCTGTCTAA